TTATTGGTCTAACACAGGTCTTTCTTGCATTCACAGCAATGCAATTAGCTGTTGCCTTGCTTATGTTTTGGAACGGCATGGCCTGAAGGGCTGTCGTGACTGCATTGAAATCTGCTGTGTCAGATCTGTGTGTGTGTTGAATGTTAATAGGGTGACAGCTCTTTCAATGTCTGCCAAACCTTCTGTCTAACAGGGGTACAAAAACACTGGCCAGGCCTTGCACCTGTTTGGGTTGTTTGAACCTGTTCGCCGCTCTGTCCAGTGCTGCTTGAGTGGTTTGCACACTCCATAAAAAGAAAAGTGTCTACCAGGGTTTTCTTGTTCCATTGATGCTATTATAGTCTACTATACATGCATAAAGGAAGAGGTATAACTGTTCTTCAGTACGGCTGTAATCATTGTGTCGTCCCGTCAACTCAGAGTTTCTGCAGCTGTAAACAAAGACGACAATGATCATTATAGAAGTCAATAAGTGTGATGACAGGGAAAAGTCAGGGTGAAATGTGTCCCCTCATTTGCATACTGATTGACAGTGGAATCTGCCAATAACTCTTTGGATAAAGTGCCTAGATAATCCCTCCACAAATGTCAGGGAAATGAAGCGGAGCGATGCTGCTGCAATGCTCTGCAATGAAACTGATAAAGGTCAGTCAACATGTGAGAATCCTCCTGCAGAATGCTTATCTCCTTAATGGCTCCGTGTGTGTGGATATACCACGGCACAAATTGCTGTTATTACGGCTTAATTATGTTTTGCCTACCAGGCCAGAGATATAACAGGGTGTTTCTGGAGGTCTATAATATGTATCTCTCTCACACTGTAATGTCCTCCTGTCACACATTCACGCTTCCAGGGTGGGGTTTCTTTCACACAGAAATGACAGAGTGTCAATACAGAGTTCATTATTAGTTTATGGCACCTCATTTAACCTCTCATGTGTTGCGGCCCTTCTTTGGTTTGTTTTTTGCTTTGACTATGCAGAAGCACATCATCTGAGTATTAACGGCTTACTGATGATATTAATTAAACACTTGTTACAGCTAATTGAGTTGGTCTTGAAATGAAGTTAGAAGCCCTGAAGTAAATGATTTCCGTTGATTGTTCTCTGGTGATTAGAGGTTTCACTGAAGAAGATTGATTTGTGTTTTACTTCAGAGCTACAATGAAAGTCTAAATAAAGGTTACTATCTGACATTTGTAATACTACACTGTTCAAGATATGAGTTTAATGATATCATAATATCATAATAATAATAATAATACATGTAATTAAAACTGTTTATGTTTATAATAAACTAACTAATGTGCTGCCTTATTGTTCTATTCTCAACAGTGACATGATCAAAAAGCAACAGATTAATGTCACGCTGAGCCTACAGAGAAGTAGTAGGCGATCTCACCGGCCGGTTATTGGCTCGGCGTGAAGCCTTTCTTCTTCTTGAGTTTTTCGAAACCACATTGATGCTGTGATGCTTATTAAAATGGTCACATAAAGGGAGACGAGAGGCTCTTCATGCCCGTGTTCATAGCGCTAAAAGTAATTGCTTTGCCCTAAGAGCTCTTGTTTCTGTGCTCTTGGTTGGCACTCATTTTTTTCTGAATCACATTGTGGGAATGTATTTGAATTAAAATGCTTCTTAATTAACTACGTGTAGGAAAGAAATGAGGCATAAGCTTGCTCCCCTGTCCATGGTTGTTTGTCAGAATCAATATTCACCACAGGCCTACATTACGGTGTCACCACCTGCTCCTCTGGGCCACTTTCTTGGGATTAGTTTCAATTCCCTCTTAGAATAGGTCACAGGTCAATGTCACAGGTAAATGTAAACCAGTGCTTCAAAAGAAACCACCAATGACCTTGTGGTGCTGTTAAAGGGGCCTAAAAAGTTCACATGTTTTTACAAGTTTCAATCTATTTCTGGATCATGCTTTTAATACTCCACTCATTAGTGAGGGTGCTTTGTTCAAAGGACATTATCATACGGATTGAGAAAAAGCTAAACATCCACATGCCAACTTGTTGCAATGCTGCCACTCAGAGGATATCAGAGGTACACACCTATGTGACAAATGCTTACCAACTAAACTTCACACAATTTCCTTAGTGAAGTTATTTTGACAGCAGTGGCGAGCCCTAACCCCAAATGCACTAAAAGGGAACCTTTTTCACAATGGAATAAAATAGACCGTTTTCACAAGACTCGATTAATGACATAACTTTGCTTGAAAGAGATTATTAGCGTGAAATTAAATTCTTGGAAGAAAGGAGTGACAGGTGAGAGAACAGAGTGAAGTAGAACATGCAAAGGGAGGAGGATCTGATAACAACTGAGGTATTCCCCTGATGGGAGGGTTTTACATCTCAACCGGCAAGCGTGGAGTGATTCTCCTAGAAAGCACGCTCGCGCAGGAGACAGCAGAGATAAAGAGCTCCCCCCCCCCCTGCTCTCATCCTGCTGGCCCCTCTTTACTCTGCTTTTTGCGGTTGCACGAGGATACCCGTGAGCTGCAGCACCACAGTGAGTCTAGCAGCTGATTCCCCCTCATGGCATGCAGGTGGGACTGTGTCTCCACTGTGATGATACAGCAGAGCAGTAGGTAGCGAACAGAAGCAGGGCGATCTGCGCTAGTAGCGGGTGCAGTTTGGGGAGTTTTCTTTTTCTCCACAGGGACTTTTTTTTCTGAGTGAGAGTGGGGTGAATAGATACAGACTGTGTGTGGAGAGTGTGCTTACCAATTGTGATGTGAGTTGTAGGGCAGTTTGGAGCCTTAGTGTGTTGCTATTTGTGTAAGAAAGAAAGAGAGAGGTGTTCACACCACATAGCCTTGCCCCTTGCTGCCCCTTGCTTGCTGGACTTAGCCCCGTGTTGGACAGGGATTACTCTGAGCCTCTTGTTCTGCTAAAGACTAAATAATAATAGAGCATGCCAGGGCTGAAGTGTGGACTCCAGTGTTGCAGAATTGAGGGAGAGCGAGAGTTTTAGGATTTGAGCTGCAGTGCTGTTTTACCTGCATATTTCTTTTGAGAAGCCCTGGCTAAAACATAAACCAGGTCACCACCCTATTCTCATTTTCCTCTTTATTCACGGTTAAATGTGCCCAATTTAATTTTCTTCTGTAAAGGTTTATGCACAGGTAAAATGAGTGTTCACAAAACTGCTATTGTTGTGAATGGTAATGGAATAGGTAAAAAGTGATGGACGAGGCGGCTTTTTTTATCACATTTTAGAGTTGAAGTGTTGTTAACTTAGTAGTGACACTTGATCTCTACATGTAAACACTGCTACATTAAGGAAAAGCCCTCTTGAGCCTCTCCTCAAGTAGGGATGCCACTCATTCTTTCTCATCTTTATCTGGCCTGATGGAAGCATAAACTTTACTTGACCTGATGGTTAGTGTTTGGGGCCCTGTAACATATGGTGTAAGCAAGTGGTGTAAGGCAGTGCCTGTTTGTGGGAAAGAATGTACTTAAAGATTGATCTGTTGGTTGTTGGAACTTCTGTCAGGATAAGTGCTGTATATAACTGTTAAGAGCTGTGAACATCTCTGTTAAGAGGGGAATGTTTTTCTGACCCTTCCATCTTTTGTTCTGAGGAAATATTAATACATCTCTGAAGGCTACCAGAATAACACATATTTTTAAATGTACTACTGTGATTAGGCTACTTTGGTGCCAGTGGTTTATATTTACCATTGTTATAGTATATTCTGAGAATGTGTAGTATAAGAAAGTGAAGTGACAACTTAGAAACTTTTTGTATGGTGTAAGTTTGGCTTTGTTACTTACTCTAATGTAAAGATAAAAAGAACCTGAATAACTTGAATAACTTCTAAATCAACATGTATGTTGGTTGCATTTGGTTTATGTATGCATCAACTCATAACTTTAAGCTTTTCTGTTGACATGTAGGTCATTTATAGCTTACTGTATCCATGTTCACACCATATCTTTAAGATGTTTTTGACTCGGAAACACAAGTTGCTGATTAGAACTGCTGCTATTGTGAATGATTCAGGGACACTGTACTCATAGGGTTGAAGACATGAATCTAGAAGCAGAGATTATTTCAAAGTGTTTCTTGTTTTCACTTTGAGTAATGTAATAAGACAACTAATGATGTATACACAGTCAATATAGAGCATCACATTTGTGACATTAGATTGTAGTATCTACATGTGACAGTGAAAACAAAGTGGATTCTTCAGTATATTAAGTAGAAAGCTGTGTGAGTCAGTTCCTCTGCAGCAAGAGTTAATTTTCCCCTTTGGGACAATATTGTCACAAGTTTGGATGGTAGCTTGCTTTCAGCAAACAAATAGACCTTCTGTGCTGCAGTGTTTGTAGACTAACTGGGGATGCTGCAAATTCCATGACAAATAGTTCGGAAGTAATGCGGCTAAAACAAAAGCCTCAAAGAATGCAGATTCCTAATTAACAGGGGATGCTGGTGCACTGCTGTGTGTGCCCATTGCAGCTCAGCAAATTATGAGTTGTTACCAGGAACAAGCCTGGCCCTGCCTGTGTGTGTGTGTGTGTGTGTGTGTGTGTGTGTGTGTGTNAATTCAACCTGGAACCTCTCATACAATACAATAATACAATACAATACTGTACACACACACACACACACACACACACACACACACACACACACACACACACACAGTATTGTATTGTATTATTGTATTGTATGAGAGGTTCCAGGTTGAATTGAGGTGGATATTTGTAATGTTCAGAGGTTGTTATGTTTAATATTCATGAGAATATTTGTCATTGATCAAATGATAATAAACAAACATTTGCATAAAGCATATTTGTCCACTCAGATGTTGATAAGAGTATTAAAAACTTGAAAAATATCCCTCTAAGAAACATTTAGAACAGATAAAAAATGTGCGATTAATTTGCGATTTAACTATGGACAATCATGCGATTAAATATTTTAATCGACTGACAGCCCTAGTTTAAATGTGTTGTTATTTTTCCATCTGTCATTGAAACGGATGTTTCTATGTTGTGCAGGGTAGTCAGAATCAACTGAAAGAGGTGTGGGAGGAAGCTGATGGCCTGGACCCTGAAGACTTTGACCCTAAGACCTTTTTCAACCTGCATGGTAAGACCTTAACCAACCTGCAACTTGTAAAGAATGAAGGGATGATGTCCATTACTCTCCATCACATGTATTGTATAATAATATTAATCATGATATGTTGTATAGCAGATGATGGTATTTTCATTCTTATAGTCTTTTTTCTCAATGTTGTTATAATGCAGATAGCAATGGAGATGGCTATTTTGATGAGCAGGAGCTGGAGGCCTTGTTTACTAAAGAGGTAAAGGCCTCTAAATATATGCTATGTTTCAGTCAATGGACTTTACACTTACTGTTGGTCTCTTATTTTAGCTGGAAAAAATCTATGACCCCACCAACGAAGAGGATGATATGGTGGAGATGGAGGAAGAGAGGCTACGTATGAGAGAGCATGTTATGAATGAGGTACAGTAAGTCGCACCCAGTACATATATACACAAAATGGTTTTATGCATGCGTCACTCAAGGATTTTCTTCAAATGTGGCAGAAAAGTCCCAGCAGATCCAAGGATGAACGGATTCGATTTTGTGGGTCAAAGGTCAACAATCAACCATGTGACCTCACATCAGTACCATCTTTGTGAATTCAATCTTTCGGGAAAGCATTACTCAAGGATGAACTGATAAGAGTTTGGTGGTCAAGGGTTTTAAAGACGATATCTCAGGACTGCTTGGAGAATTATTGTTCAAATGTTGTGTTGGCCATAACTTAAACATGTATTTGCTAATTATGACAATATTACACAAATGTCCTATACAATAAAGCTGAAAGTTATCCTGAAACTAATCATATCCAAACCACTTCTGTAGTAGTTACTGCAACAGTAGATGTCTCAAAGATAATATTTTACTATAAAGACTCATAGGGCAAAAACAATACAAGCGCTGCAGGTGGTAATAATAGTGATGTCACTTTGGATAGAAAATAATGAAAACTACTGGTTGCAAAAGGCATGCAACTGCTAGGCTGTAATTTTAATTGTAATATATCCTTGTCTGTCAATAAATTAAAGCATATGTGATTCATGTTTGCTCCTGTCTTGCTTATACATAGGTGGATTCTAACAACGACAGGCTGGTCTCTTTAGACGAGTTCCTGGTTGCTACGAAGAAGAAAGAGTTCTTGGAGCCAGACAGCTGGGAGGTGAGACACGTATATGTATCATGTCGACATGATTTAAGAGTAATGTAATCTTAAAGCCATTTTGTTAATAGATGTAGGATAGGACTGTAGGAGTAGTGATTGATTGTCACGTCCACTCCGTGCTCCTCAGACTCTGGAGCAGAACCAGGCCTACACAGACGAGGAGATGCGGGAGTTTGAGGATCACCTGGTTCAGCAGGAACAGGACCTCAGCGAAAAGTCTTCCGACCTCCAGAAACAAAGAGACGACCTGGAGAAGCAGCAGGAGCAGCTGAATGCACAGAAAATAGAGCTGCAACAGGTAAGGAGTGCCGTTACATTAATGGCTAGGTTTGCTACAATATATTTGTTTAACAGTGAATGTGTCCAAATCTGATGCTATAAATATATGAAAAATCTGGTTTCAATATCAGTGTGTCCTTTAGCTATGATTGTTTTTTATTTATGCTATTACGTTTCTGTGACTATCTACAGCACTGCTTGCACTCACCAAATATAATAAAACAATACCATTTTGTTACAGGCTGTGGAGCATATGGAACGGTTAAAATCACAAAAAATAGAACCCCCTCCCGAGGTTCACGGTGAGTTTAAACTGCACAATATTAACTTTGGTCATTGTTTGATTTTACTGTCTGACATCTGTATACCTTGTTTCTTTTTACAGTTGAGGGAAATGCTATACCAGAGGTGCACGCAGTTGACAACCAGTTGCATCATGAACCAGAGGCCCAACAGCCCGGGCATCATTTTGAACCCCAAGACCATCTAAATACACTTCAGGAACACCATGAACAACAACAACAACACCATCAGAACCTGGCCCAGCAAGGCCTCCCCCAGGCGCGCCACGATCTGCCCCCAGGCCACCAGGAGGCTGCACAAGGCCTACATAATGTGCCATAACAATGCTGTCAGAACTTGAACCACCACTATCAGACTATTTGAAGCACCTCCACTTCAGCGTGCAGAGGAGCAGTTCCTCCCGAGTATTAGGCCTCTTTAACCAGCATGACTCTTAGGTTTGGAGGAAACCTGAGATGAAGGAGAGCAGCACGAGGAGAGCTGAATAATACCGGTGTTTGATAATTGTAATCCTTAGATTACAAAAGATAAAATGATCAACCAAGGCTGTGCATCCTAAAATGTGCATATTTACATTTTCAAGGAGTGTTTGATTACATTAGAAATGTTTGGTAATACAATTTTACAAAAACACCATTCTGGTGAGCTTTCTTTACCTGCTGTTTGCTTTTCAAGATACAGAACCTCTGACAATGCCATGCTTCCTTCTCTACAAGCTGAGAGGTTTCAGATAACCTGTTGGATATGGGCAGTGAAGCTGTTGAGGGGAATGAGATGTAAAAAGTCATTTAAATGTACTATCGAAATACCCCAAAATATCTCTAACAAGAGATTAGTTTACATGTGTGTCTTGTAGGGCTGCTCAATTAATCGTATTTTAATCGCGATTACGATTATGGCTTGCGACGATTACGAAAACAATGTAATCGTAATAAAACGATTATTTTTTTATTATTACTTATGGTTTTTCAGTTGAATTATAATTAAAGTTCAGGGTAATCAACTGTTAAAAACATACTGTTCACATTTTTCTCTCTAATAAATGGATGTTTTCAAAGTCAATGAATAATCGCATTTAATAATCGCAATTACAATTATTGACCCAAATAATCGAGATTATGATTTTTGCCATAATCGAGCAGCCCTAGTGTCTTGCGGTGAAACGTATACCACTGTACTCAAACATAGAAATGGACTGCAATAGACATTGTCATGACTTTCTATAGTGCATTAAGAGCAAAAGAATGCCTTTCCCGCCATTATCTATTGCTTCTACTGTCACCAAACTTTCCTCATGAAACTAGACTGATACCAATACTTTTGCTACTTTCTTAATGTTGATTCTGGTTAGCTGTTTACTCAACTGACTTTGGTGTCGAAATCAGAAGTTTGTTTTTTAATAAGCATAGGCAAGGAACATCTCACATTCAACAAATATTACATTTATCATTTGTTTTAATAAAGCCCTGTGGCTGCTAAAGTTGTATACTTTTACTCTAATGTGTATTATCACAATTTTTAGGATCCACATTTTCTTCAACCAACTGCTGGATTCGTTTAAATGTTTCCTGTAGATTTAAATATAAAAAAAGACAAAGCGGTTCTGAGTCGGTTATCACAGTCTGATCTTACCACTGTTTTTTGGTCTAGTAATTTCGGTTAAAATGGTATCATGGAAACTTCTGAATTTGTTTTTAGCTCACAACATAGTGTTTGGCACTACATGTTTATTACTTTGTGTTTCACAAACTTGGCATGTCATATTTCTCTCACAAATAAGTTTGTACTTGTAGTTGGTGCGTTATCAAGGTTGCTTTGTACATGTAGTGTTGTGGTTTCTTTTTGCTGGAAGAATGGCCATGGCAACAAGTGTTGACTTATTGCCACTTTATTTGTATCCAGTGAGAAAATAGGTCCGGTGCTACTTCATCCACAATCTAGATATGGGATACAACTTTGACTCTTTGTGCGGTGTCATTTGTTTTCTGTGTGCCAAGCCTTCCTTTGAGACATTACTGCATCATTTTTTGCAAAAATGGACAGACTGTTTTTGTTTAATACTTTACATCTCAAATCTAGATAATAAACTATGACCTTTCAGTTTGTGAACAGATTAATCACTTCATGAAACTCCAGCAGTACAACTTTAAACAGTTCAGTATGGCTAATCTACACATACACTATTTAAGATGTAAGGCAATGTCACTGTTAAAATGAATAGCTTCAATATGTTGGAAGCAAAGTGTGCTTATCCGTGTAAATACCTATCTATTCTATCCATCTTAAACGGCATTTGATCGTTTATATACAGTAAAAGCTGAATAATTAAGTGAACAGGCATAGTAATTATTCACTTAGTTAAATTGTTCTAAGATTTATGAAATTAAAAAGTAATGAAATCTGCATCAGATATACACATGGTAGAAGACTGTCTAGTGGTACTGGAGTTAGCGATGGTCTTGCCAAAAACACCTTTATTACCAGCACAAGTGAACTGAAAACACCACATCAGACAGAATAAAAATAAACTAATTTATAACAGCAAAGCAGTTCACTTCCACAGAAGGTAATATAACACAACTTTATTGAAACAGTCTCAACCAAATCAGCGTACAAAGAGGTGACGGGGGTAAAAAAAAAAAGCTTAATGAGATTTATGAGATCGAGGAGGAAAAGTGGCTGACAGCACAGGGCAAAGAAAATCATTGTCATGGAATCAGATCGACAGTGGCAGGGTATTTTTTGCATTTATTTTGTACAAAAAATAAATTAATGAAATCTTTCAAGTTTACAGGAATATCTATTTGTTGTTTTATATCACAGACTCGCTGATAATCCTACATGTGGTGAAGTTCAGCATTTTGTGTTAGAACATGGAGAGGATCTAGACTGACCTAAGCAGGCTGACTGATAAGTAGGCCAAGAGTTAAAAAAATAAGATTACCAATGAGAAACAAAACATTGTTATAAAAGTGAACTGGGGCGAACACATTCAAAATCCTGAATGTTAAACGTGGCGCGACTTGACGGTCCTCAGGATCCTTTAGGATCTCAATGCTGTAGCATTTCCTCTAGACAAGCCTCGGGGTCCTTGGGCTGCTCCCCGCTTGTAGTTTTGCTGATATCCCTCCTTAAAAGAAACACAAATGGACATACAAAACCATTTTTAAGACAATGATGGTATTTTGTTGTCATTTATTGAATGAAAATTGTTTGGTAAAAATACTACTGGGCAAAATGCTAACACTATCCCCGCACAAGAGCCTTTTCGTTTGAAAACTAAATGAATAACAGATAATCGGTTTTGGGACACAAACTTTAACTTAAGAAAGGGCTTCTTACCCGTTGGTAGGTGTTATTGGAATAGTCCCGAGGCGCGTTAAATTGGGTTTGACTGTAACCGGTGGTGGGAGCATTTGAGAAAGGAGCACGGTATCCTTCATATCCCCCTGAAGACAAAACACAGCATTTACATTTGGACTTGTGGAACCTCAAAATGTTTTGACATGAGAAGGAATCCTAAGGAAACGTGACTGTGAAACATAGTATGAAGCCTTCACCTCTAAATCCATTGGAAGATCCTCGGTATCCGTTGATCATACCACGGCCATTCCTGGGCCCCCCCCTGGGCACACCCCTGCTATTATAAAAGGACTGTCCCGACTGTCCAAACCCTGCGCCTGGAGCGGACTCTTCATGACCTCCGGCTGAGGGCATGACCTGTTCTTGTGGCTGGAAGCCACCAACTAGACAGAAGAAAAGAAAATATTTAACAATTCTATGACGCAATGACGGGGTGTTAGTTATGCATTTTAAAATCACTTTCTGCATTCTGAAAGATCTACAATCATGCCGATCAAACCATGAAGGGATTTTTGTCTTGCAGTTCTAACAGACTTTATTTGTTATCTTATGGTTTGCATATACATGCTCAAAAGAAACAAAACCTCAAAGTGTGTGATCATTTTCCCTCTGATTGTATAGATGACAGTAAATAATGTGCGTGTGATGATGCCTCACCTGACTGTAATGTCTCCTGTGGGACGTCCGGCTGCACCACAGCACTCTCTGACTGAACGCTGAAGCCCTGCCCATAGCCCCCAGGGAACTGACCGGGCTGCTTCAGAGGCTCTGCTTGGCCTTCAGTAGCCGGAGGAATGGGTGCATTCAGATTAAATACCTGAGGATGGAAAGAAAGGGTTTCTGTATCAAAATTGCCATTTTCATAAAACACTTGAAGGTCAAACGTTTTTTTTAGGTTTGGGAAATTAGGGGACGTGTTGAAATGTCACCTATTTAGATGGTGCACACATATTTTGCTGTTAATTCGCTGCTACAAAAAAGCCATTCACTGGCTGTACATCGATTTTGTAGAAACAAGTATGGAACCTGACAGTTTCAAACAGAATGTATTGAATAAGTCCTAACATGTTCATGGTCAGATCGTTTACTTATACCCAGATAGAAAGCGTACCGCTTGCACTGACTGGAAGGGAGCGGCGTTGACATTGATGCCTCCAGTGTGGGTGGGTTTGGAGACAGGTGGGAAAGCAGAGGACAGGGAACATGGGGAGGGGGACTGTTCAGATGACACACAGATCGAGGCCTGGGGAGGGGTCAAGGAGGGGATTCAGAAGGCAAGGAAACAAGGATTTCAGAGATCAGTGGGAAAGACGGGATGTGTGATTTATTTTTTAACTTAGAAACTCCCTTCTATCTTTTTATTATATTCAAATGATTCCAATATCTACCCGTTATAAACTAAATCATGACACGTCGGAGAGCATTACATTAACTCCTTTAAGTAGCGCTTTTATAAATACAGCCTGCATATTACAAAAAACAACCCATACCATACTCTTATCATGTTTGGAACTTTTTATTTGTTCACCCTACTACTCCTTCAGGCAAACGGATAAACAAGCGCCTCCCTCTTGCACCCACTCTACTCACTTGTGAGGTTTCCTGCGGTCCAGACACTGCACTTGTTTGAGGAAGTCTGGACTCTGAGTGGGCTGTTTGGAAGAAAATAAAAGAGGCACATTAGGGAAAAATGTTACCAACATTATGCATTTAGTACTAATATATCCACATCACAGAACACCGCGAGGACACTACTCTAAAATCTGCACAGGTAAATGAAGTGACTCACCAGGAGGGCAGCCCATCTGCTGCATGTCAACAGTCTGCGCAGGCTTCATCGGCTGCGCAGCCACAATGGCTGGGTCCAGTGCCTGGCCGTCAAACTCCAAAATGGACTCCTAGGAAAACCAAAAAGAGTAAATGCACTGTTGGGTCATGGATCAGATATAAGGGTAGTGCAGAAGAAGACTGCAACAAAAAAACGTCCGGGCAAGACAACACATTATATGATGCTGGAAATGTTTACCTGCATGAAGTTGTACGTTCCTTGCAGTTGGGCCATGAGATCCTGCACTACCTGCTTCCTGACCACGGGGTCAGCAGCTGGGGGGGGACTGCCATGGTCCTCAGCATCGGTTGGTTCTGCAGCCAGCTGGGCAGGGGGCTGGTGCTGGAGGGAATTCACCATCTATTCAACACAAAGACACATTAGAGTACACAGTACGTATGCATGGTTGCATTAACTTTGGTGAGGCAGTAGTGTTTTATTACCTGGGCCTCCTCCGCCCACTTCTCCACTTGGTCATCGTCTGTACTACTGTACGTAGTTTCTGGAATGAACTGTCTGTTGACAAACTATAACACAAGAAAATGCAAACAATTAAGTACATTTAAAATACATGTAAAATGCAGTACAACAAAACTTTGCATAGTTGTGTTTTGGGGGATTTGTTATGCTTTAGTTATGCAACACATATCGAAATCTCACCTCTGTAGTTTCCACTGGAATTATCTCAGTGTATTTTTCGGAAGCCAATTCTACTTCTATAAAAAGAAAAAATGTCAGGACAGTTTGAATATAATAACAAATATAACACATATCTGCAAATGTTTAAGCTTGTATGCTGTTAGTTACCAGGTTCGGATGGCTGCTTCACAGCATTAGAGTCATCCACCGCAGTCTGCTCCTCTTGCTCCTCTTCCTCTTCGCACCTCCCATTCTGATGAGGTTGTGCTCTGTCGAAATAACCACTCAGCAGCACTTTGTCCAGAGTGTCCTTCAGTGACTTGTCTGGAACAAACAGTAAAATGCAAAAACTAAATAACAGCTCGACATATATCACATAATTGTCTCTTTTATTCTTTGTCTCTATTTTGACCAGAGAATCAAACCAAGTTTGCATCTTGTAAAACACGTTGTTGTTTGAATAAAATCCTTAAAAATATATTTGTCTTTAATTCCTTGATTCCTGGAAACCAGTTGTTCAAGACAGGAAAAAATGGATGCTGGTCCAGGTATCAAGAGCCATTCAAATACTTACATGTGGTCCCTGCCACAGCCTTGTCTCGGCCATCAAGCAGTTCAAACAAGTGTACTGAGGCCTCTTCATATTGTTCAGTCAACCTGCAAGGTACACGGCAATATATATACATTGTTAGTATGCTATTGGCACAGTATGAAAATGTATACCCACTGAGCAGGTAAAAAAGCAGCTATTCAGATAACTATAATTAAGACCATATTTTAAGCAGCTTAAATGATACTGCAAGGATTGCATATAACTTATGCTAACTTAAATATTAGCAGCCCTTCATACCTGATGTCATAGTTCCTATCAGGTCCCACCAGTTTGTAAAACTCATCGAGGGATGTGAGGTCAGCGTCCGAGAGCAAAGGGGAGCCGCTGGCATCGGGCCGTTTGAGGTCCTGCCTGACGCTCTCATCCCCCAACTGGTCCAGTAAGAACTGAAGCTCCAGAACGGTCTTCAGCCGCTGCTGTTCCATCTCCTCCCGCTGCAGCTGCTCCCGCCTGGCTGTCTTCTTCACTGCCTTCTGAATCTAAAAACACACATACATTTGGGTTCAGTGCTTTTCCCAAAAAAGAAAAAAATACATAACCTGTACATTCTTGGCCATGTAGAATCTGAAATAAACGTAGTCTAAGAAGTACTGCTAATCAATGACAACCTCCAATATAACAAGCTTAATTAAGGCCTTATTTATTTGAGGAACTCTAGTCATGTTGCTATTATGATAAGCAGCTTCGAGTCTTTTCCCTGGAGTAAAGTATCACTTTCAACAGGATGTTGTGAATGGGATATTAAAAGCATGATCTGAAAAAAATTATTTGCTTTTAAAAAAGGGACTAAGGAGAGGGACAGGGTCTACTACATTTGTAAGCAGTAAAAGTTCAATAACACAAAGATTAAACTTTTAAAATGAAAAATAATAATAACATCAAATCAGGAAGTTATAAGAGCAATGTCAACTCATTACTCACGTCTTGTCCCAGTGCAATGAAGTTTTTCTGCAACTCTCGAGCAAATTCCAGGTTGTGGGCGATCTCTTGGTACTTTGCCAAGGCCTCCTTCAGATACATCATTCAAAGAAAATACAGATTTGGGAATCATTAAAACAAAATCATTCTCAGGATACAGTAACTTGTAAAGATGCACCATTTTCCAGTCTGTTCTCATTTGACAACAAGTATCATTTTATAATCTTTTATTTTTTCAAGGTTTTTTATTTTTCATTGGATTTGCAAACTGCAAATGAACAAAGCTGTATTCAAACTGTCATGGCCTTAGCTTACCAGCTGATCCTGATTCAGTTGTTCTCCCTTACTCTTCCTTGCTTGAACGTCATCCAGTTTAGACTGTAGGAATATTGAGAAATACAAAATGTTAAAAGAGACAGATGAAATAAATCCATATGCATAACAGAAATTGATATCTCGCAGCTGAATGAGAGAACCGTAATTATTATTTGTTATATAATCAGAATAGACATGGTTTCTTATACACAAGTTATGGCAGAAAGAACCAGAAGAGGTACGATTATAAGCAAGAACGCTGACCGATAATTGGCGGCTGCTGTCTGCAGAAAAAAAGCTAACTCTGAATTATAAAAATGTAAAAAAGTATTTAGTAGAATGTTAAGCTGAAATTAAATACATTTTCTGACTCAGCTTAGATTCATGGCTCAAGTTGCTGTTATTAATGGATTGCATTCAAAATTAACTATAAGAACCCACTGACATATCTACTCCAACCTTTTTTAACTTAAAGTAAACATCATCATCTGTGTTGAAGATGTCAACTGCAACACATTCTCAAAAAAACACATCTCACATTCTGCTTCGAATTCAACAAGAAAAAATAATGTGATGACACATTTTCATTTCTAATGAAGTAGATCTACCTTTTTCTTTTCCATATTGCGAACCTTCTTGTCAATCACAGCAAGAATCTGTTTCATGGCTTCATTATTACTTCCATTTCCCAGGTCTGGAGAGGCAGACTGGACAGCATTGTTGCCAACCATCGCTGAAGGCATCTATTGAGAGAAAAACATGCATTCAAATATTTTACATTTTCAGTCCAGATCACAGGAGAGACTTCAGTCATTTAGAAGTGTATTTTTAAGTGCATACGTTAGGGCTGAATGATTAATCGATTTTAAATCGAAATCGCGATTTTAAATGATGCTATTATCAAATCGCAAAGCCTGCAATTATTTTTTTAAACATTTTTTGTTCTTTTTGTGTGTCAGTCATCCACACCGATCAGAAGTGCTGTGCTCCACATGTACCAGCCATTGTTAACCAATCCGAAGTGGCCCATGACAGAAGGTGACAGATTGATCCAATCCCCTGCCAAGTATTTTTGAAAGTGCCTGCCCTTTCCAAATGGCTTCCAATGGAGCTTTCCTAGATCTGAGTCAGGTTGGTAATAATCCCACATGTTTTACATCTATTACATGGTGAATCTGAAACTGAAGCTTGACTTTAAAGCAACCCAACGGAAGTTTCATGTAAGTTTAGTTCTTTCACTCGTAGCTCGGGCTGCGGGGGTGCTAGAGACGGGAGCTAACGTTGATATGGCCGGCCGCATTTTACAATAAACTTCCGTTGGGTCGCTTAAAAACAAATATCGCAAATCGAATCGCAATATTTGTCAGAAAAAAATCCCTATTACATTTTGCCCCAAAATCGTGCAGCCCTAGCATATGTCATGGACTGCTCCATTCTTTATCACCAAAGACAATAGCACCTGCACAAGTGTTTAGGAAACTAGGGGGGAGAAAACTATAGTTGTACAAAAGCATGTCTGACTCTGCAATTTCTTAAGAAGATGGGATAGCTAGGGGATTTTGAGTAGCTTTTAATTAACAAAAGCCAAGTATTTTATACCGGAATGTTATCAGTTGTTTCTAAATGTGTAATCTGTTTTTTGCACTGATACAAGGTAGAATAAGATCATCTGATTTTCAGATCAACACATTTCTATGGGTGTCTTTATGTGTGGTGGGAGAAGCTAAGATAATATTGACTCACAAAGCCTTCTCTGTCAATACTCAGAAACATGTTCCTTTTACAGCTTACATTTACTTTTTGGAAAACATGATCACTAAAACTGCATTACAGGGCTATCCAGATCGACTGCCACTTTTTACTGGTGCTCAAAGAAGCTGTATAGTGAATTGTAGCTGTTGGATTTACTCCAGGTGTAACAAAAGTCTTATTTAAGTGTTGATTATATTTCACATCATAATCCTAAATCTGGACAGTAACCAAAGGTTAAAGGTCAAATGGATGTAGTGGAGTAAAAGTCAACGATTTAACTCTACATTTGCAGTGGGGTAGAAGTAGAAGGTAGTTAAAAATGGAAATACTCAAGAAAAAGTACTAGCATCTCAGATGTGTTCAATGGTTATAATCAGCACAGTGACGCCTGACTAAAACCCACAACACTGGGCCAGGAGAAGTGATACTGATCTGATCCAGCAATTCACCCCGTCTTTGGTTTGGGTTAAGGAACGAATAAAACCGAATATACCCCCGAAGGCATCACTTTACTAGTAGTTATATGGTTAGTTGGAAATAGATAGTTATTTGAAAATACGCTGAACTGAATGAGTAGTTAGACAGAGGAGGTTAACAGAAATTAAAATGTCGGCCTTCTATTCAAAGTTAAAAACCACAGCTCCCTTGGAAACACCGGCTATCGTTATAAACGTATGCTATCAATACGTAACCAACACTAAGTCATGCAATTTTAGTTAACGTTGAAAACGTTGGCCTCGTAGTCAATCTAGCATTTCACTGGTGTAAGATGAAGTTTAGCTAGCTACCGTTACATCAAATGTAACAAGCAAACACTGGTCCTAATCTCCTTGTCCCATTGTTAGCCGAGAAGCTAGCTGCAGCCGTTAAAAGGGCATTAGCTAGCGGATAATAGCCCGAGGTAACAATATTTCAGTTAAATCATAAAAATAGTTATTGCAGTTTCGAACAAAAATAAATGCCGTCGAAATAACGTTTAAAACAGTGAAGAACAAAGAGCATTTCGAGACGCTGCGACAACTCGTTTTCTGCAATCGCCTCGACTAAAGACGATTTATTTAAAAAAAAAAAAAGTACAGGTTAAACAGCAATGTGTTGATGATGACATGAATCCCATACCTTTATACTCTTTGTCTTCAAAGAGATTTCCTGTGTCGGATTTAGCGTTAAATGTGTGCAAGCAGTCTTTCACTTTCAGTGGTATTTTTCTAGAAGGATGCTCAGGCTCACGCTAGCCAATGGCTGACTAACTGCTGCTGAGCTAACGGTAGCAGCTAAAAGGACCCCTGAGCTAACCTTGAAATTGCCTGACGGTAAATTATAAATTGATTTGAATTTAATTCCTGTATTGTCATTGTACAGGTACAAGGAAATAAAAAAAACAATCCTGTCAGTGCATATCTACATATCAACAAGCAGCAGCATGTACACAAGTCATGCACATGAATAAGACGTTTTAAAAAAATACAAAAGTAATACAGTAAAATAAGAAAAAATAAGAAATACAACAAATATATACATATCAGCAGTAGAATATAAACCCAAAACAGTTCATATAAACATATAAATAATGAAGGATATCTACATACATTTTGAATACACTATATCAATATACAAATATACAGAATTGAATGATATATAATTATAAATAGATATAAAGGAGTTATCACCCCCCAGTTGGAGCCAGACATGATGGTGCTGCACTTGATACATTATATGAATTATCCATAAGGTTCCAAGTGTAACTCCTTCTTTTACAGGACAAATTCAACCTTATTGATTCACTTTTGTTTGTTTGGGAGAGGGGGCAGTGCACAAAATGCAACTTTGCATCTGTAGTCCCAGGCCAAGGTGTCACAACAGTAAAATAAATAAGAGAAAAAACAAAACTAGGGAAAGTGTAAGGATTGGACACACATTGTGCACACATTTGACAAATAAAGTGTTCTGATTCTAAACAAAAAGCATAGTGAGATATGAAAATAGGACATCTTGCATCATCAAAGTGCATAATAGCCTACTGTATGTATCAATAACTCAATGTTTTAATTGATCTAAAGATCGGTTTAGAAGTGCTATGTTGTCTGATGTGAATTACAATTATATTTCACTTCCTTAAACATTTCAGAGATCAGACTGACGGAACAGACACCTGATTAATATTGGTTCTTCTATGGATAAAGTGTCAGTGGATGTTCATTGGTGTCCATTATATTATGCACTTTTTGATTTCAAAGCTTGTTCTTATCTCATGACAAACACAAATACGATATGAGACAGACCTAAGCAGAGATTTTAGAAAAACTAGTGCCCAACAATTTATAAAGATTGTTTTTCTTTTCTTTTCTTATATTCAGTCAGTTTACTTTTCAGTTATATTATAAGTATTTTTCTAACATTCATCAGGTTCAAATTATTCTCCACCATGACAGAAAACTGGTAGGGAAGTAATTAATTATTTATTATTTTTTTATTCTAATCCATTTAAAATATGTTTAGACAAAAAATACTGAAAGCAGCCTATAAAATACTCATTAGGTATACTTTAGGAATTTTAACCTCAGCCATGCTCCAAAACCCCTGAGTTCTAAGCCAAAATACAGACACAACCTTAATCCATTTCAGCTTTTAACTAATTGTTGGCACTGTTGTTATACACAGAGTGTAAACTGGTCTTGAAAAGAAAGAAAGTATTTTAGTCCCTATCCTATCTTTCCTTAAACAGATCTCTGACCAAAACTTAAGAAAATTAAATGTAAGAATGAGATCAATTTATGTAGGTGCAGGACTGGATGTTTGGACTGATATAGAAAGTGATAGCAATGTATGAACAGAAGAGGGCGCAGGTTTACCATATACTGGAAGTGTATCACACAAAACACTCTGAAAAACCATCTCTTAACCCAGTCATGAAGCTGCTGTCTCAGATGGTCCTCTGATGTGTGTTCACCATAGTGTAGCTGAAATTAAATAGTTTTCTCTTTGTCTTTTCTGTAGATTTTCAGCTGGAATTAGCAATCTTGTGATTTACACAGTGTTATTACCTGAAGAAAAAACGAAAGGATACCAAATTACAACAATTCAAAGGCTTTTTTGTCTACAATAGGAACAGCGTTGGTTTGGCCATACAAATCTTAAGTCTAAGGCTACTCCAAATTGATATTGAAAATGAATATAGTATTGCAACAGCACTGAATAGAGAAAATTGTACATCCATGTTGTAAGTTGCACCACATAAATATACCAAGTAAAAACCCAATCACTTACTAACAGTATTTGTGCTGGTTCAATACTCATCTTAAAAAAACTGACAGTTAAATGAAAACCTGAAGATTAAAAAATGTTGGAGAGCAGCAGAGATTCTCTTATAATTACTTTCTTATAATCAAACAGCTCCTATTTTTATTTTATTGTGGCTGTGTAATAAACTATTCAGCAACTGGACTGTCAAAATGTAAACTTTTTTAAAATGGTTAAAGATTATCTCTCACACTTTCCATCATATGGTAAAATAACAGCGTTTCAAACCTTCAGTGTTTCAGACCTTTTGAATAAACATTCACAGTAAACTTTCACACCTCCTTGATTCCTGAGTCTGGCCCTCTGGCCGATGACGGATATGCCTATAACAAGTGAGGTGGGGGTATATGGATATCTAGCCCTTCTCTCTGATGTGGGCAGCTGAGTAATGGCCGTACATCCTTCAGTGCTCTTCTCCTGCAGCACATCTGACTGGATTAAATATGTGCAGAGGATTTATTGGCTGAAAAACCACAAGAGCCCCACAAACACTTCGGCCCCAGACCACTTGTAGTGCAGCAGGCAAGCACAGGAATTAATCTGCAACCTCTCTGGCTTCCCCTTTCTCCATGTCTTCCCTCTTTTTTTAAAGTATGCATCTTTACATGGTTTCTGTGACTTTTTTAAAATATATTTCAATTGATCTTATTATGCCATTATCCTAACATGTTTTTAAGTTACAGGAAACACAGAGGTGAAGTCCGGATCTTGGTGTTTCCAAACTTTTTTGCGGGATGAGGGGCTTTTTCCTCTCACAGCCTCCTTTAAATTAGGCAACATTAATAATTCATGGCCCACATGTGTTACAGACAGATTACACGCATCTTCGTGTAATCATCATTATCATTATTACAGGCAGAGGATTTTATTCCCATCTCGCAATTTGCGATTCATGCGATTGAGGTTTGATTTTGGATTGTGGTTCAAGGGTGGATTTGTTTACCATGCAGTCCTTTGGGACAAACTATGATGATTATTATCTTCAGTGCTTTGCATTTTAAAACCAAATGCACAAGTTTCCCACTACAGTGCATTCACAAGGCCATTGGTGATGTTGGTCATTTCAAAGATGCAGAATCACTTATAATGTCCTATGCTACAGAGAGTTGCTGTGAAAATACTATCCATTCATGACCACATGTTGTTGTTTTTTAAGTAAGGGCACAGTGCCTCAGAGGCTCACTATGCTCTGTACGACGGGGGACACCAATGGTGCTTGAATTGGGCCGGTACTCACCGGTACGCAGTACCGGCACTTCTGATTTTTACCCATGTGGTACCGGCACTTCTTACAATAATGCCGGTACTCAGCCGCCGGCAATATACGTATATATTGTAAACGCAACGCAGCGCAAATGTGGGTCTGACTCTGCCTCACAGAGGGTGACTGGCTGTCTACATGATGTGGCCTGCCGACATTGCCACTTTCATACAGATCATACTAATGCCCTCCATTGGTCTCTGTGTGTCATTCAAGCTCGGGAGGGTGTGTGTTGGTGTATGTGTGGCGCGAGCGAGCGAGAAAGCGCGCGCACCGGTTACGTGTATTGTTGTTAGCATCTGGTGCTAGCTAGCTGCGCTAACGGATATAAGGAGCTGTTTCAACAACAAGGTGGAGGGAAAGTCCTTTGCTGTCAGACTGAGAGGCTGATAACTACAGCTCTGGTGAGGTAAATTACTCTCCGAGTCTTTAGATAGTTAACTTAGTTTAAGTTATCTCAGTGGGTCTCAAACGGTTCGGTCACCATTTATGTAAACACATATTTCCATTTGAGGGGGTAGTGATTAGTAAAAGATGCATGAATAATACAAACAAAATGTTAACTAGGTGAAAAAAGGTAAGATAAACTTGTTGAGAGCTAAAACTAGTCTTTGCTGTTGCCTCAAAGAGGAGCAGGGGGAGAGGAGGGAGACAGGAGAGGCCGATTCAGGAGCCCAGACACACTCACAACTATAAATGAACCAAAACTAATAAATAAACAAGTTTCAATGTTTTTTCATATTGGATATTGTATGTTATTGGTTATGGCCATGTACTTATGATTTTATGATTATTTAAATGTATACATTTTTGTTTCATATGGGTGTAGTCTCTTTATTTCCCCCTCAAAATGCACCAGATTGATGCATTTAAGTCCAACATTTAATAAAAAATCTTACCGGGGGAGCATGCCCCCGGACCCCCCTATAGGATTTGAGGCCCGGCCCCACTGTTCCCAAATAGATTTGCAATTTTTTTTAAATAGTAACCCATCTCCATATGTTTCTTTTTGGGTAGTAGATTTAAACTAGAGGGCTATCGCTTTGTGCAGCAACGCTATTGACAAATAAATCCAGCAAAATGGCACAAAAAACTGGTAGTGGCCTCAGGGACGAGGAGTCATTTAACCAGCCAGTAGGAGTCAAGCTTTACTTTCTTTTATATCCATAAAGAAAAAGTAAATCTGTTTACAGTTGTTTCATTATGGATGTTGAGAGGTATCCATATATCTCTTCATTTTGCTCTCAAAGTGCACCAGATTGATGCATCTAACTTCAATATTTAAAAAAAAATGTTCCCGGGGGAGCATGCCCCCAGACCCCCATAGACTAGAGGGTGTCAGGTCCACTCCCCACTTATAAAAATAGCACTTTACCACTGCACCCCCTCTAATCTCAGATGCACCCTGAGTCATTTTGTTTAAGTACACTGAGCCTTTCTAAAATATACAGTAAAGAGACAAACCCACCAGCATTATAGGATATACTATGACTTTGTGCCAAATACTTGTTGCTGATTTAGAGTACTGGCACCTTTTTTATTCCAATTCAAGCACTGGACACCATGATTTGTTTGTTTTGTAGTAGAGTTGTAACTCAAAACGTGTCATAGCAGCTACAGAGAAGCAGCTTATTTTTGGAGGCTCCTAAGATAGGTAGATGTACTTTTTGTCGATTATTATTTCTCATAGTGTGAGT